CTTAGCTTTATAATCACATGGAACTAACAGAAAGCATTAAAGGGCTCAGTACCCCCACATCATTTTCCTCTGCTGACTTGGATTAGGCGTGGGGGGTAGGAGAGCAGTCAGTGGCTTGCCTAGCATGGTACAGTGCACTCCTACGTCCCTGGACATGCAGGACGCCCTTCATGAAGGAGGGATGATGCAGAGGAAGCTCACACAAAGACCCAAATCTTAGTATCAGCTTGCAAGATGTGGTCCATCTACAATTCTATGATTTGACCAGAGTCAGAGGAAAAATATTCCAGTGACTGAGCCCCAAATGGGAATAAGAGGTTATTCCAGCCTATGTGTAGAGGAACGGAGATGGTGGGGGTTCCCAGTCGTTAAGACTTTGAATCAGAATCACGTGACTTACTTGCACTAAATGCAGATTTGGGAGGTCTTACACCAGATATTAAAATCTAGAGAGGAAGCCTAGAATCCTCTCCATTTAATAAGCTCCCCAGGGGATTCTTAATTAGTCAGGCTTCATCGCATAGCTCCTCCAAACTGTTCCCAGTTGCACCAGGCCCCAGCACCAGAACCCTGGTTCTGTGACTCGTGTGCTAGGTGGCTCTGGAAGGGGATATGGACATCCTCTGAGTCACAGTGTCCTTTATAAACCAGGGATGGTGATAGTCATATAAACGTCACAGGACTGTTGTGAGGATTCAATGAGAAAATATAAATGAAATATTTAGAAATGATATGGCATTTTGTCCAAATTAATTACTGTTTTTGGAACAAAGCTGCATCTTCTGGTGATACACAAGTGAAGCCAAAGGCTGGTGCTGAGAAGCTGGTGCAAGTCTCCCATGAACGGAAGAAAGCCTCTTTCCGCTCAGAATTCTTAAAGAGCTTGCCTTGGGGGCCTTCTGCCCCTCTTGCCTCTCTTCCTCCTACATTCTGTTCTCTTGGGAAATGACCTTAAATTTTACCCATTAATCCTGCCCCCTGAGCTTTTCACTGAATGACTCTCCCAGCTTCTGAGAAAACACCCAGCTTTTCGGTGTGGCCATCCTACCCTGCAAGGGGGCCCTCTGCCAGCCCAGGGGAAGAGCGAACTTCTTTTCTTTCATGCTTCAAGACATTATTGGCTGCGTATTGTTTTAATGCTGTGCATAATTACAGAAACTGCTCTCAAAATCTGTATATTTTATCTGTGTTTTATTATACGCAGAATATCCCCCAATTCTTTTTCTTCTACATGAACCAGCTTAAAATATATTTTGGCGTCCTTTATGTCATCTTGAAATTGAATAGCCAATTCTTACTGTAATGAAAATACTTATGCGCCAGCCCGGTGATATACAACGCTACACTCTAATTACGGCTGTGCTTTAATTAACCTGAATTGAAGAGTGTTATCATTAAACTGCTGGTAACTTTGAATTATGGCTTTTCTTTAATTTAAAGTAGAAAACACAGATAATTAAGCCTCCAGATAATCAAATGCTTGAGGAGAGCTTCAATGTTTTGGGATGTTCCTAAATCTCATTAAATGTCCTTTCTTTATTGATTATTTCTACCTCTGCTGTATCATTGTGTTAAACGAATAATAGCAGTAAGTTGAACACATTCTCACTCACATCAGTTTTTTGGTGGCTTTTTTTTTTTTTTTTGTATTCCAGAAGCTGTGCCAAACAAATACTAAATTCTCTGACAACAAGGTGTGTCTGAGGGATCTTCTCCTTCTCGGGATGTGTCCTAAAGATAAAAATCAATCAAGGGAAAGATCTACAGACGAGTACCCAGCTCCTGAGCCTGCTCCCAAGGGCAGGGAAGTTTCACACACACCGCGGGTCAGAGTTGGCAACCTCACACGGCGAGGGGGCCAAGCCCAGGTGTAAATGCAGATCTGGCCTGGTTTAAGAGGGCAGGGAGGGGAGGTCCTTCACTCGCCCTCTCCTTACAGAAAACGAGAGCCAGTTAGCATCTGGCATGAATGCGAGTCCTGTGTTCGTTCATCATATTTTTCCAAGGAGGCCAGGAATCCCGTTTTTAAGTGAAAAACCACGTTTTGAAACACTGGCAACTAACTTTAAGAAATTAAACACTGTGTAGGACAAATACATGCGTCCAATTTCCACCTCCAGGTATCCCAGTTGGGACTTCTAAAGGGAGCAGTCCTAACCCTCTAGGTTAACACTCTTAAAATGGACTGACTTGGTTCCCAGAAGCAGGATACGAGAAGCAGTGGGAAAGCAGAGAGGGGGCGTGGGGGACACAGATGAACAGACTTGCAAGGGAGACCTCCTGTTGATACTGGTCAAGCCAGGAGACTCAGCAGCCAAAGAAGGGCGCTTCCCATACTCCCCTGCTAATGCCCCCAGTTCCATTGGACCCCTCCAGGCATTGGCAGTTCGCTGTGTGCTCAGACCACCTGCATATTAGATACAGAAGGCCTCAATTGCCCTTTACCGAACCAGCTTCTAAGTCCTGAATACTCCTGGGCTTTTCTATTCTAGACAGGCCAAGCCCCGTGGTGGAGAAAATCCCCTGGGACAGCCTCAGTGTTTCAGGACCCATGCGTCTGAATGGTTAACTTCTTTCTATGGCAGAAGGAGAAATAGCTCTCAAAGGAAGGAACACTCGGGAGTTACAACAGGGCATCCATTTTCAGAAAATAACTCCTTCGGAATCAATTACCTATTCACTTTTCCAGTCCATTTAGCATTTAAACCTTCGCTTAGAGACAGGGTGAGAAATTTCAGTAAACAGTCGAACCATTCTGGATTGCTTCAGCTCTGGGCCCAGGGACAGACAGGGCGCACCTGCCGTGTTCACTGACAGGTCAACCCCAAGCTACCAGGCACTCTGCCCTCTCTGCTGCGCACAGAACGTAAAATTAGGAGGCAGAGGAGCCAGAGAGCCCCAGGACTATCCTCTTCAGGCTGCTCTTTCCAGAGGGTGGGTTTGGTTTGCTGGCAGCCAGACAGCACGCGGGAATCGCTTTTCTTCCTCAGCTCAGTGGGTCCCCAGGTTCCCGTTTCTTCCCAGGTTTTATCAGTGAGAGTGAGTTAATCAAATTCTTTGCTACAGTGGCAAAGGATCGGGGCTTTGTGTTTCAGCACTCTCAGGGAGTTTGTGTTTTCACAGGGGACATCGCCTCCGTTTGATGTGCACCTGACACCTGAGCTTCTAAATGGGGACTCTGAGGCATCATCCTGGTGGAAGTTTCCTGGGAGACCCAGAGCTCCAGAGGTTACAGCCCTTAGGTGATTCCCTGTTCTATCTCAAGGGGTCATGCAGGCCGGGGCTACCTCTCGCTCAAATCTATCTTGCTGAGCCAGTGTAAGGAGATGCTAAGCCTTTTTTTCGCTATAACATGGGAGTTGACCGAGTTGGGGCAAAACTGCTCAGGACTATTTCAACTTGGTTCCACATTCCTCCAGCAAAGAGTGAAAGCCCTTTGAACAGTGGCTTTTCTGATGTCTTTACGATCTGACTTGACTGAAAGGCAGATTAAAATTTCTTTCGTCAGGGGGCTAGGAAGATTTGGTTTTGCCCTGGTAAAATCAGAGGCATGGGTTCCTGCCACCCTTCCTAAATGCGTCTCCATCACAGGAGCATCACTGAAGGCATGCAGGAAAACCGCAGCTCGTCACTTAGTACAAATGATGGAGCCAAGCCTGAGAGCTTCAGGACCGGAGGGAAAGGAGAACCAGCAGAAACCCCCAAGGCGAGGACCATACAGTTACCCACCTTCCTGTTCATCACACTAGGTTGAGCACAGGCCAGGTGGTAACTGTCGAGTGTCCCCACTGTGCTGGCCACAGGTGGGGTGTCTTTTCTGCAAGGGGCACGTTAAACAGCCCCGAAACCCAAAGAGCATATGGTTAATGGTCACTTACTCACAAACAGTAGGGAAGGACAGACCCACGAAGGCACTGGAGAGATATTCCGTGTACATTTCATTTGAGACTCCTTCCAAGTAGTACTTCTGCCACGTGTCTTCCTCAATCTAAGGGAGAAGCACACAGGAGGAGGGGTTAAGGTTAAGGTATGAGACTGGGCTGCAGAAAGGAAACTCGGGTTACCCCAACTGGCAAACAAAGGCACTGGTTGCATATGGTGACTTTTTTCAACAACCGCAACACAACCTGAAACACCACGTGAAGCTTCCCGTGACCCTAAACTCATAGACTTGTTGCATGTCGCCTCTGAAGCACCACCTCCTCTTAAACCTGTATGATTTCCAGGAGTCTGAAGGCATGGGCACTCACCTCCCCATTGATACGATTTTTTTGATATAATTTTTTGAGAGCAATTTTTAAATTGTTACCAAAATGTACAAAAGTACATACTCATTTATACAACTATTTCATTTTAAGAATTCAGAACAAAGAAACAAGTAGACTAGTAT